AAGCAGTGGACCGAGAGTTTACAGTGTAAACATCTCCACACACACACACACACAAACACACACACACACTGGCAGGTGCCTGTAATCCCAGCTACTTCACACACACACACACACAAACACACACACACACGGAGGTGGAGGTTGCAGTGAGCCGAGAGCACACACACACACACACACACACACACACACACTGAAACTCTGTGTCAAAAAAGAAGCTTCCACACACACACACACACAAACACACACACACACAGGTCTGCATTTCATGCCTGGTACTGGGCACACACACACACACACAGACACACACACACACGAGTGAATATAAACGAGCAAATACATGACACACACACACACACACAAACACACACACACACTGGGGCTGTGAAGGTCTTCGAAGCCCCCCACACACACACACACACATACACACACACACACCTGTCTGGATGGTGTGTGAGAGGAGGGTGGCCTGGTTGCTCTGGGGCCAGGCTGGGGAGGTGGATACCCCAGGCTTGACTAAGGAGAAGCACACACACACACACACACACACACACACACACAAGTCAGCCATGGCTATGATGGCTGAAGCACACACACACACACACAAACACACACACACACCTCAGGCCTGGGGAGGATACGCGGACAGCACACACACACACACACAAACACACACACACACGAAGACCTCAGCCTGGGGCTCTGCCTGGCACACACACACACACACAGACACACACACACACTCCTGGGCTATCGCAGCAGGCTGTGATGGTTATAATGATCTGCCACTGTCACTGCAGCAGGCGCACTGTGCACCCCTCACAGTGCTCCACACACACACACACACACAGACACACACACACACGCTGTCCACTCAGCTAAGGCAGGCAACACACACACACACACACACAGACACACACACACACGCATAGAAAAGTTAAGTAAGGCCGGGCGCACACACACACACACACAAACACACACACACACGAGGCCGAGGTGGGTGGATCACCCGAGGCACACACACACACACACACACACACACACACACGAAACCCCGTTTCTACTAAAAATACAAACACACACACACACACACACACACACACACACACCCAGCTACTTGGGAGGCAGAGGCAGGAGCACACACACACACACACAGACACACACACACACGAGCTTAGATTGTGCCATTGCACTCCAGCACACACACACACACACAAACACACACACACACAAAAAAAAAGAAAGAAAAGTTAAGTAAACACACACACACACACACAAACACACACACACACGCATAACTCCAGAACCTGGGCTCCAACCGAGAATGGCCGTGAGCCAGGGAAAGGACAGGCTGGAGGGAGGACTGTTTGCTCCATGCCCTCACACACACACACACACATACACACACACACACTGCCAGGGAGGGTGTGGAAGAGACAAGACACACACACACACACACAAACACACACACACACGGGCTTCCCTCTCCTGAACATCTGTGTCCACACACACACACACACAGACACACACACACACAACCCCCTCTGTATCCCCAAGGGAAGAGAGAGAGGGATAGCGTTGACCAGGGGAGGAAAGCTAGCAGGAGGCCCATGGAAGGAAAAAAACACACACACACACACACACACACACACACACACTGGCAGCGGGGGAGGGCCCTGGGGACGCCACACACACACACACACACACACACACACACACCATGGAACACACTGTCAGCAGCAAGAGGGACGCATGGGAAGAGGAAGCGTTTGTGGGGGACCCTCGAGCATGTGATAACACTGGGCATCCACACACACACACACACAGACACACACACACACGAACAGTGGCAGTAGAAGGCTGGGTGGGCACACACACACACACACATACACACACACACACGGAGCAGAGTCACACGCCTCTCGTGTGCCACACACACACACACACACACACACACACACACTTTGAACTGAAACTGAGACATTAGGCTGCACACACACACACACACAGACACACACACACACAGCCCAGGAAAGAAAGTGGGCTCTCTTTCACACACACACACACACATACACACACACACACTTTTTTTTGGAAACTGAGTCTTGCTCTGCACACACACACACACACAAACACACACACACACGCTCACTACAACCTCCTCCTCCCAGGTTCACACACACACACACACACACACACACACACACCTGGGACTACAGGCCCAGGCCACCACACCACACACACACACACACATACACACACACACACGTTTCCCCACATTGGTCAGGCTGGTCTCCACACACACACACACACAGACACACACACACACGCCTCCCAAAGTGCTGGGATTACAGGCGCACACACACACACACACATACACACACACACACAAAGTCTACTTTGAGGACTTACTAGGAACACACACACACACACACAGACACACACACACACAGAGGAGACCCTCACAGCCAAACACCCGCACACACACACACACACAGACACACACACACACGGCATCCTGGCCACTTTCTCTGCCCAGCCACACACACACACACACACACACACACACACACATCCCCCAGGCCACATCCCCCGTCCCCGCACACACACACACACACACACACACACACACACCACAGCTCAGCCTCCCTCCTTTAAGCAGCACACACACACACACACACACACACACACACACCCTACAAGCAGTGGACCGAGAGTTTACACACACACACACACACACAAACACACACACACACTGCTTCACTCCCTTCACCCGCCCTCACTGGCGAGCATTTGGTCGGGTTTGTTGGCTTAAAAAAA